GCGCCCTCGCGTGGCGCGCACCAACACCTCTCCAGGCACCGCCGGGACCCAAACAACGTCTGGGAATCGGTCGCGATTCGTGACTTGGTCCGCAACTCTGGACCAGTGCCGGCAGTAAAACAATGAACCCCACCTGACCCCCAACATCCCCATCTCCCCCACCCCCTCGGGGTCCCTCCTCTCGCGTGACAAGCCCCAAGCCACCCCCCAACCAGACAACCCCCCCACCTCAAGCACCCTTCCCTCGCAACCCGCAGCACCCCATCCCCCTACCCCTCCCCCGACCCCTCCCACGACCCCTCCCACTACCCCGCCCACTCCGCAACCCCTCCCACTACCCCTCCCCCTACCACTCCCAAAACCCCTAACCACCCCCCCCCCCTCCTGCAACCCGCTCAGCGGATCCCTCCGTGCGGTCCATCGCTGCCGCTCAGCCAGGCCGCTCGCTCACTCAACGTAACGCGTCGTGTTAGAGGCATCCTGGACCACGGCAACGGTGTGAAGGAGTGACGTCAGCGGGGCGCGAGTTCACGTTGAGTTTCAAGTTTTCAAGTTTCATTTATTAGGTATAGCCCTGTGAGCCATGCGGCTCTTGAGTCGGGTGCAACCGCAACAAACAAAATTTGAACACAGAACATCTTAAAGCGACAACGCGTAACAGAAACATCCTGGAATAAAAACCAGCAAATATTCCACGCAAAAAAACGTATTAAAACGCTGTGTGCAAAAATCAATGTGGTGCAAGCCAACAACAACAACCATAAGACAATTTAGATTAACCATATATTTACAACATGGAGTATACTAGGGCCTCGCAGCTGTCTCTCTCCCCCTCCTCTGTTCCGACCATGGACGAACTCGTCCGTCTGAACGGGGCCCGTAGCTATCCGTGGTGCTAAAGTTGAGGGTAAGAATCCACCCATTTTTTCGCCATATAGCATTGTGATATATAACGACTTATGGTTGGTAGCTTAGCTGATTGGAGAATATAGAGTTTATTGATAACATGAAGGTAATTTATATTTTAGGTTTTATTGGTTCACTATATAGTACTGTGAATAGCTCAGATGTGTAGTCATTTCTGTGACCAGTCACTAGCAAATCACTCAGTTATTTCAATGCTAAATTCGCCTAGTTATTTCAATGCTAAATTCTCCTGTCTGATTTGTACTAAGTGCCTCGGTGAATGTGTATGCTCTGACTTCAACGTAGCTATTTCTGTAGCAGTTACAAGCGAATCACTCAGCCATTTCAATGCTAAATTCTATGCTAATCCCATTGTCAAGGGGTGCCTCTGCGGATGTGTATGCCTTAACTTAGCTATTTCAATGCTAAATTCTATGCTAATTCCTTTTAACAATGGGTGCCTCTGCGGATGTGTATGCTTTAACTTTTAACATAGCTATTTCTGTGACCAGTCACAAGCTAATCATTCAGCCATTTCAATGCTAAATTTTATGCTAATTCCTTTGTCAAGGCACTTTGTTCCTCTCACACAGCTTAAAAAGCCGTGATCTGAACGTGGCTCTCTCACTCCAGCGCTGTCCTACCAGACAGTCTCGCCCCCTTCACCTGATGAAGGCCGCTTGTGTTGTGGCCGAAACGTCGTGAGAATATTATTGTGTTATTTTATTTTATCAATTTATTATTTTATTCTCATTCTACGTGACTTTACCGAAAGAACCAAAGAAGATGGCTCGTTTTCTGTCTGAAATCCTGCGACCTTTTACTGGAAAAACCACCTCTGTGGTACTAAACTCTACTCACCTGGTATCGACAATCAAGGGTATTTCCCTGTCCCCAGTCGACCTGCTTGTCAGTTTTGATGTGGTTTCCTTATTCACCAAAGTTCCTGTACCTGACACCATCGCAATCATTGAAGACTTGGTTCATCAAGGACTGCATACTGATGTACCCCCCCCCCCTGGTGAGACACTGCTTAATCAAGACATACTTTTACCGGGAATGGAACTTTCTACAAATAAACTGAGGGCACCCCAATGGGCTCCCCCCTATCTCCGGTTGTAGCCAACGTTTTCATGGAGAAATTTCAAACTGACGCCATCCACTGCCACTCTACGCCCGACCTTATGGAAGAGGTACACGGATGACACTTTTGTCATCAGGCCACATGGCCGGCCTGCTCTAGACCAATTCCTCGACCACATCAATTCCATACACCCAGCCATCAAATTTACCATGGAAGTTGAAAAAGATGGCAAGCTACCCTTTTTGGATGTCGTAATTAAAAGATCTGATGGTTCAATGAGCCACTCTGTCTACAGGAAACCTACCCATACGGATGCTTACTTAAAACCGGATTCCCACCACCATCCATCCCAGAAGAATTCCCTCATCAAAACTCTATACCAGAGAGCTCAATGCATTTCCGACCAGGAACACATTGCCATTGAACTCAAGCACGTACACCAAGCTCTCAAGGCTAATGGTTACTCCGACTACACAATCCACAAAGCGATCACACATGCCATAAAGAAGGATCCTCTTGAGGAGCCATTCAAAACCATCACCTTACCCTACATTGCAGGGGTCACAAAAAATATCTCCAAAATCCTGAATAAACACAAGATCAAAGTCCGATTCAACACAGTACATAAAATCCGTGATCTGGTTCCGTCTGTAAAGATGTGGTTCCAGACATACAATACCCGGGCGTCTACAAACTAAGATGCCTCTGTGGTAGCAGCTACATTGGAGAATCGAAACGACATATCTCGGACCGCATCCGTGAACATAAAGCAGACTTGAAACACGGTAGGACCAACACCTTGGCCGTGGCAGATCACCGTTATAATTTAGTAGACTCACATGACATTGACTTCTCCAAGACGGAAGTTCTCTGCAAGCCATCCGGCTTCTATGAGAGTTTCGTTCATGAGGCCATCCACATATACAAACACAGAGACAATTTCAACCGAGAAGATGGATTCTGGCCTAGTAACCATTGGAAAGACGTTATAAACCATTTCGGTTCTTAATTGATTGCATTTTACGGTGACTTTCAGACCGCAGTCAATTCGTTGGCACTGCCTCTTAATACCTTTCACACGACGGTCAATGGTATGGTTTATAGCATGTTGTATAATAATAAATAGTATAACAGTGTAATGTTTAACATAATTCATAAGGCAATATATAGTATCGTATTTGTATAGTGAATATACAGCAGTGTGGTATACAGTAGGGTTGGTAGAATAATACAAAGTGTAATATTACAAGTCTAATATTTTACAGTCTAAAGTATAGGGTAGTGTATAGTAATGCATTGTACAATTCAAATGTGGGTTTGTCTATGGCAGTGTATATTATGGTGTATAGTCGTATAATGTAGAAAAAAAGTTTAGTTGGAGACATATCAATATAATGCATAATGTTAGAGCTGCGTATACGATTTTATACAATTTAGTTTAGATTGGAAGGTATAACCTTGCAATGTATAGTAGTCTACTTTATAACATAGTTGTAACGCAACACAGGACAGAGCAGCGCTTCGTGGCTGTTTCTCCCCCCTCCTCCGTTCCGAGCATAGATGGACTCGTCCGCCTGAACAATGCTTGTCGCTTTCCGTGGTGCTAACGTTGAAAAGAAAAAAACGCCACTCTCTTTTTTTCAACATAGAATTGTAATGTATAATGACTTATTGTTAGTAGCTCAGCTGACTGGAGAGTATATTGATTTTATTGATAACATTGATGTAGTTTATATTTTAGTTTTTTTTATCAGTTTAATATATGGTATTCATTATATAGTGTAGTGCATACCCAGTTTCTTTATGTTAATAGCTCAACTTATTGAAGAATATATTGAGTGCTCCATGGATACCTCATGCTGATTTGTCCCATTGTGTGCTGCCGCGCCCCACTTTGCTCCATGCATACCTCATGCTAATTTTGTCCCATTGTCTCTCAGACTTACCTTCTCTGCCTATTTAAGGCAACTTCACTGTGTGCTTGTCTCTGTGCTGGTTTGCTCTACTTGGATATCTGTGTGTGTGTGTGTGCGGTCTGTATTTTTGAGTTTCATATACTTAACTTGCAATTTATCAATCTTTGAAATAGCGTGATCAACCGGACTATGCGTTAATTGTGTTTTGACCGACCGTCTGTGTTGCTTTATATGGTTTCCAAATTTTGCTAAACCCTGTCTGTTTGGTATGCTTCTCTCTCTGTGTCCCCTGTTGTATCTTTGTTAGTCCCCCCTACTTGGGTGTCTGTATATACATCTGAAGTTATGTTTCCCCCTCTCGTAAATTTAGCTCTTCTGTACTTGATGATGGCTGCTTGTGTTTCAACCGAAACGTCGTACGCTATTATGTTATTTTATTATTTCTTATTTATACGTGACTTTACCGAAAAAAACAACGAGTACATATATTATATTGGTGTAGTTTATACTTAGTTTTTTTCACATCGGTTTATTGTATAATAGTTGGGTAGTTGCAGTCCTTTAGCATCAATATACTAAATGCCTCTGTTGATATGTAAACTCTGACTTTAACATAGCTATTTCCGTGACCAGTTACATGCTAATCCTTCACATTAACATCATGCTAATCTCCCAGTTACATGCAAATTTCTGACTTTAACACGCTGCTAATCCAACACTTTAACACAGCTATTTCAATGCTAAAATATCCTGTTGATATGTAAACTACTTTGTCAAGGCGCTCTGCTCCTCCCACCTAGCTTAAAAGACGCTGCGAAGTTTAGCAGCGTTCATTGAAGCGCTGTCGTCCCGACAGTTCTGTTCCTTCACCTGAAGAAGGCTACTTGTGTTGTGGCCGAAACGTCGTGATAATTTTATTTTATTCTGTTTTATTTTTATTATTTTATTTCTATTCTACGTGACTTTACCGAAAGAACCAAGAAGATGAATCCCTGCAGTCACGAAAGCTTTAAATCGAAAGTTGTGAGGATTGTTTACGCTCAGCCCCTCCGTTGTGATAGAGAACCACGCAGCCCTTAGCCACCGACAGCCACCAGCCAGTCAAGGGCGTGGCGCTGCGCGTGACGGTGACGAGGGTGGCGAGCGCAGTGCGTCGTGGCGTCTGCCCTCTGCGCTGTTCACGTTCACTTCTCTCAGGACGCACCACTCAGATCCACAATCCTCACCGAGTCCCCCACCCACAGCCCAGGGTGTAAGGGCTGAGTGAATGTTTGGTGAAACGAGTGCAACGGCGCCATGGAGTCGGCGTTGTAAAACGACAGCAGCCCCGCGTCCCAGTCCAGGTGGACCCCAACTCTCCGCGGAGGCTGCGGCACCGACAGTGATGTCTCTACCCCGCCATGCAGCACTGAGAAGCTGTCGCCAAGTTTCTGTAGACACCAGGAGACGTCGCTCTCTCCCAGGAGGCACTCAGCACCATCCCCTCTCCGTGGAATCGTCGCATACGCGACTCCAACCAGACACTCATCCGCGCTCCCCACGTCCACCTCCCAGTAGTGCTGACCCGACGAGAAGCTCTCAGAGCACAGCGCTTGCCGCCAGCACTCAAAGCGGTGTGGGTGATGGGGGCGACCCTGGGGGACATCGCTCCACGTTGCCGTCCTGAGGTCCGAGGAAATCTGGAGGTGGTCGCAGGCTGAGTTTGTGTCCAGAGTCGGTGATCGTCCATCTGTGGTGAGTTTTAGTGTACACATACTAATATTAGTTAGTTTAGTGTACCCACACTAATATTAGTTAGTTTTAGTGTACATACACTAATATTCGTTAGTATTAGTGTACATATACTAAAATTAGTTAGTATTAGTGTACACAAACTAATATTCGCTAGTATAAATGTACACATACTGCTATCACTTGTGAATAATTAGTTAATTATAATAAATAATAACCATTAATTAATAATAAAAGTGCTACACTAACTTGACCATGGGTGTGTGTGCAGTGGTAGTGAGAAACTGTGATGATTCCAGCACGACGATGTTGACGCGACTCTCACATCCACACACACACATTGTGTGTCACAGTCTTGCACAAACTCACACCCACACACAGACATTGTGTTTCACAGCCTCGCACACTCTCACACCCACACACAGACATTGTGTGTCACAGTCTGGCACACTCTCACACCCACACACAGACATTGTGTGTCAAAGCCTCGCACACTCTCATATCCACACACACACATTGTGTGTCACAGCCTCGCACACTCTCACACCCACACACACACATTGTGTTTCACAGTATCGCACACTCAACAACAACAACAACCGCCATTCGCCACTAAGTGGCGGTGACGTCACCACGACGCTTGTGCCAGGCTATGTGCACCCAGAGGCCACGTGAAGTGTCGAACGCCCGCTGGCAGGAGGTCACGGGGCAGACCCAGGTGCCACGGGTCGACTGACTGAGATGACTGGCTGATGCACCACCTGTGCCCCCTACTGTGCCAATCTGCTGTGCTTTAGCCACCCGGCGCTTCGCTCGTTGTTGTGAGCGTTGCTCCTCCGCCCTCCGTTGTTGTTGGAGGGCGACTACCTCCAACTGCCCAGTAGCGTCCTTCACGAGCCTCCTCCACAGAGCCCGATCTTGACACCACTGGTACCAGTCATCGGCAAGTCCACTCAACTCCACGTCCTCCTGTACCACATCACTCCATCTCTTCTCTAGCCCGTGCCGCGCCCGCTAAGCCCCCTCAATCCGGCTGAACAAAAGCTGTTTCGGCATGCGGTGGCTGGGCATGAGGGCTACATGACCCAGCCATCGCAGCCTGCCCCGCCGGAGGAGCTCACCAATGGGACCTTGCCCAGATCTTTCAAGGATTTGTGAGCTCCTCACACAATCCAGTCTGGTTAAACCCAGGATGGATCGTTGGCAGGCCAGCCTAAATGTTTGTAACCGGCGAAGATGTTCCATTAGGGGGGTCCACGTTTCGCAAGCGTAGAGAAGGGAGGGAATGACCGTGGAGCGATAGACCAGGTAGCTTCCACACAGCGTTACGCAACCGATGAAAAGATATTGCCGCTCGACTGATTCGGAGTGAGACCTCTGCTGTTAAATTGGAGCCGGTCATAAGCACACTGCGCAGGTATGGGAAACTCTCCACTCTCTCCACAACTGCCCCATCACCGATTGGGAGTTGTGGGGGTGAAGTGTCCGATGGTACAAAATACCCAGGCAGGTGCTTAGTTTTGGTGGGGCTGATGGTAAGGCCCCACCTCTTAGTGGCACGCTGCAGTCTCAGCAGCAGCGTCTCCAACTCCTCCTCTGAATGAGCAGCTATTACCAAATCATCAGCATACATAACGTGGTTGAGCAATAGGGAGCCATCCCTTGACCGCACCCGGGCATCGATCAGCCTCCCATTATATCTGTACCAGTTTAACACGTAGGCTTTCGCGACCAATATTATTCATAATAAAGGTTTTTGGGTTAGATCGCGTTTATTTATAAATGTGTCGTAACCCTCCACCACCCGACACGGCCAATCAGCAAAGAAAAGTGTCACGTTGACAAAAGACAAATAATTCACTACTTCAGCCCACCGGTGTGTTGAAGAGTTAATCCACATTTACAGTTTGAGTACGACGTTTCGCTGGTAAATACTTCCAGCATCATCGGGCAATTCGCCAGAATGGTAAAGCCCTCGCTTGCTCCCGGTTTTATATAGAGCAGAAGAGTGACGTCATCACTTAACTCATCAGGTGCAGTGATTAGAGGCGGAGGGGGGGGTAATGTAATTATATAATCGATTAGTAATCAGTCATTGGTTATGATTAGTAATGAGTTGTAGATTAGTAATTCTTTAAATCAAAATGTAATGTGTATTATTTAATAATACGCTTCCAGGCCGCACTAAGCCGGTAGCTGTCAGAGCGATTAAAGTTATTCTTGTTCCTCTCAATTTCAATGGATTCTCTAATTAGTCTTTGCCAGTAATAATTAGTTTTACACACCACTGCAACATTGTCAAAATCAATTGAGTGTCCTTGTTGACAAGCATGTTCTGCCACTGCCGACAGTTGTGTTTGAGATAATTTAATATTTCTCTGATGTTCTTTTAGTCTTACGCTGATGTTACGTCCCGTCTGCCCAATGTAGCAGCTGCCACATGAACAATTAATCCGATATACACCTTCTGTTGATAGTTTAGGTAATGCGTCTTTAGTGCAAGATACTAGTTTTTGAATTTTGTGTACTGTACCAAATCTTACTGTAATGTTTTGCTTTTGCAAAACGCGGGCTAATTTGTCAGTTACTCCTGAGATATATGGAATTTTTATTGTTTTAACAATCTGGTCGCTTTCAGTAGTATTGCTTTGCGATCGTGATTTGGCATTCAGTGCTCTGTTAATTTGAGCATTATTGTAGCCATTCTGTCGTAGTGCGTCTTTAACGTGTTTAATCTCTCTCACTAGACTCTCACCATCTGACACTGTTTTCGCCCGATGTACGAGCGTCTTGATAAGAGAGGATTTTTGAGCTGGATGATGATGTGATTCTGCATTCAGATAGGCATCAGTGTGCGTTTGCTTTCTGTAAACGCTGTGTGTTATTTTACCTAGACTCTATGGGCTACCAAAGATTCATAAAATCGGCATCCCATTACGACCCATAGTCAATACAATTGGCTCTGCCACATATCAATTAGCAAAATATATAACCAAACAAATACAGCCCTACATCGGTAAGACATCTTCATTCATAAAAAAATTCAGAACATCTTGTGAATGTGATTAAAGATATTAAACTTACTCCTGATGATATTCTGGTAAGCTTTGATGTGATTTCTCTATTCACTAAGGTTCCAGTGGACGAATCGCTTAAATTACTTGATACACTAGTAAAGAATACCGGTTTACAAAAAGATATTCCGAAACTTGCTGGCCATTGCTTAAATAACACTTACTTCTTATGGAGAGGGGATTTCTTTAAACAAAAGGAAGGAGCAGCAATGGGTTCTCCTTTATCCCCTGCTATAGCAAATTTGTACATGGAAAACTTTGAAATAAGAACACTTGCCTCGAGCACATTAAAACCATCCTTTTGGTTTAGGTATGTGGATGACACTTTGGTTGTCTGGCCACATGGTAAAGATACACTTAATGATTTTCTAAATCATCTCAATGCACAAAACCCGGCCATCCAGTTCACCATGGAAATGGAGGTGAATAACACACTCCCATTCCTAGATATTTTGCTTGGACATGGCCTAAACGGTAAAATAACACACAGCGTTTACAGAAAGCAAACGCACACTGATGCCTATCTGAATGCAGAATCACATCATCATCCAGCTCAAAAATCATCTCTTATCAAGACGCTCGTACATCGGGCGAAAACAGTGTCAGATGGTGAGAGTCTAGTGAGAGAGATTAAACACGTTAAAGACGCACTACGACAGAATGGCTACAATAATGCTCAAATTAACAGAGCACTGAATGCCAAATCACGATCGCAAAGCAATACTACTGAAAGCGACCAGATTGTTAAAACAATAAAAATTCCATATATCTCAGGAGTAACTGACAAATTAGCCCGCGTTTTGCAAAAGCAAAACATTACAGTAAGATTTGGTACAGTACACAAAATTCAAAAACTAGTATCTTGCACTAAAGACGCATTACCTAAACTATCAACAGAAGGTGTATATCGGATTAATTGTTCATGTGGCAGCTGCTACATTGGGCAGACGGGACGTAACATCAGCGTAAGACTAAAAGAACATCAGAGAAATATTAAATTATCTCAAACACAACTGTCGGCAGTGGCAGAACATGCTTGTCAACAAGGACACTCAATTGATTTTGACAATGTTGCAGTGGTGTGTAAAACTAATTATTACTGGCAAAGACTAATTAGAGAATACATTGAAATTGAGAGGAACAAGAATAACTTTAATCGCTCTGACAGCTACCGGCTTAGTGCGGCCTGGAAGCGTATTATTAAATAATACACATTACATTTTGATTTAAAGAATTACTAATCTACAACTCATTACTAATCATAACCAATGACTGATTACTAATCGATTATATAATTACATTACCCCCCCCTCCGCCTCTAATCACTGCACCTGATGAGTTAAGTGATGACATCACTCTTCTGCTCTATATAAAACCGGGAGCAAGCGAGGGCTTTACCATTCTGGCGAATTGCCCGATGATGCTGGAAGTATTTACCAGCGAAACGTCGTACTCAAACTGTAAATGTGGATTAACTCTTCAACACACCGGTGGGCTGAAGTAGTGAATTATTTGTCTTTTGTCAACGTGACACTTTTCTTTGCTGATTGGCCGTGTCGGGTGGTGGAGGGTTACGACACATTTATAAATAAACGCGATCTAACCCAAAAACCTTTATTATGAATATCTGTACCAAATGGAGATTCCCCCGGTACAGCTATTGAAGGCTTCACGAACTACGTGGTCAAAATGATGTTAAATAATGTGGGAGCCAGAGGACATCCCTGTCGCACCCCAAGGTGTACAGGGAATGGCTCTGACTCCCGGCCACGTAGTTTTACCCGGGCCCGCTCACCATCATGAAGGTCCTTAATGATCGTGAGCAGAGGGTCAGGTACTCCAAAAGCACGAAGAACAACCCAGAGCCCAGGCCTACTGATGGTATCATAGGCCTTGACCAGGTCAATAAAGCAGAGATGTAGGTCCTGTTGGAATTCCCTACACCTCTGCTGTAGCAGACGGACAGAAAATATGGCATCTGTGCAGGACCGCCCTTTCCTGAAACCGCATTGGGGCTCCGCAAGCCTCTCCTCTGCGTGCCTGGCAAGGCGATGCTGAATAATCGTTGCCAGGACCTTTCCCGGCACACTGAGGAGTGAGATGCCCCTGTAGTTGTTACAGTCTGTGCTGTCCCTCTTCTTAAAAAGGGGGACCACCAGGGCATCTTTCCAATCCTGCAGAACCCGTCCAGTGGTCCAGACTGTTGTTATGATGTCATATAGGGCAGTCTGTGCACAAACGCCACCCTCCCTCAGCATTTCGATTGGGAGATCATCTCTGCCCGCTGCCTTTCCTGATCTCAGACTCCTGATTGCCTTCAGTACTTCCTCAACAGACGGCACCTCAGCCAGCCACTCACAGGGGGTGACTTCTTCCAATATTTGAGGCACCGCAGCCGCAGCAGGGTCATCCTCACTTTGTGCCACGATGTTTTCCTGGCTGAGGGATTTTCCCTCCCCCAGGACCTCACAGAAATGCTCAACAAATCTGAAAACCTGTTCCTGGGGGTCGGAGATTGGATCACCGTTTTTTCCCCTAATGATGGTAATAGGTGTGGTGCTGCAGGTTACTTTTTTGATGGAGTTAAATAGAGATTTGTGATCACGGGCCACTGAGGCAGACTCCATCTCCTCAGCAACCCGCGACCACCACCCATCCTTGCAGCGCCTCACGGCTCTCCGAACCTCCCAGTGAAGGCTGCGGTAAGCCTCCTCATTCTCTGACGTGGGATTCTGTAGCCGATGACAGTGGGCCTGTCGCTTTTTCTCAACCATCCTGAACACCTCCTCTGTCAGCCAGGGTCTCTGGGGAGGTCTGGACCACGTACCCAAAGCAGCCATTGCAGCTGCATGAGTCACAGTCCTAAACCTCGCCCATTTACCCTCGACATCAGGAGGAGTCGGGGACAATGCCAATCCCAGCCGCAAGCGATGATAAAATTCTCGCTTGCAACTTTCATCAGATAACTGAGACCAGGCCACTTTAGGTTGGAATGGGGTCCTGGGTGTACACCCACCACTGGAGTGGAAGAATGGCAGGTGCATCTTACAGATGACTAGTCGATGGTCAGAGGGCAGATCAGCTCCACGGTAGGTCCTGGTGTCAAGGACATGGGCTCGCATCCGCTGGTCCGTCACTATGTAGTCCAGCAGATGTTCTTGCTTGGACCCGGCATGCATCCATGATGTTGTGTGGATGCGCTGATGCTGGAACAGCGTGTTGGTAATTATAAGCCCATGGGCTGCACACTCTCACACTTACACACATACATTGTGTGTCACAGCTTCGCACAGTCTCACATCCACACACCGACATTGTGTGCCACAGCCTCGCACACTCTCACACCCACACACAGACATTGTGTGTCACAGCCTCGCACACTCTCACACCCATACACACACATTGTGTGTCACTCCGCTGCTGGATGAGCACCTCCCCACGCCGTGCGCGTCCTGGGGGGTTATTTGACCATACTTCACCAATCTCGTCGGTGCGCGTTGGCGATGGTGTGGATCGTGAACGTAGAATCGTGGAGGTACAGTACAACAATGGTTCACGCCGCACTGCCCTCTGCTGGTGTGATGTGTAAACATTTGGCACTAGGGATACAAAGGCGGCCGGGCGTGGTGCTGGCCACCCACTCTCTGGTGTGCCGTGCCGGCATTCATAGGTGGTGCTACTGGCTGACAGCACTTGCCCCAGTACCCAGCAGTAGGGTTTAGAAGAATATTTAAAATGTTAAACTAATTTTATTTCACCAGGTAGGGCCCACTGATCCATGTCGCTCTCTTTCAGAATCTGCGTCTCTCCCCCGTGGTAGCGTAGATTTTTCCCTGGCTACTCGCGTTTTTCTCTCCACGTTTATAATCAATTGGCATTCAGAGGATTTGGTTGCTGCTGTAAATACCCACGTGATGAGCCACTTTTCGTAGCTGTCATTTGTGATAGGTCGCTTGCGACAAAAGAGCGACAAGGTTCAGTGGGTACCTTACCTGGTGAAATAAAATGTTGTTGAAGGTGGGGAGCACAGAAGTGCAGTGCAACAGAGTGGGACATTGCGGGTGCAAGACTGAGGAACTCACAAGCGAAAGGCAGGAATCTGTTCACGACCATTTCAAGGGAGCAGATTGTGGTGACGTCCAGTGAAGTGGGACGTGGGGGTGCAGATTCCTTTGGGATCTCTCTCCTTGGAAAACCACCAACAGCATCACACACAGCCTTGTTTAACCACAGCATTGGAACACTCAGCATCCATATCACACATTGCAAGTGTCTAACACGCAGCCCCTGTCTCACTCACAGCCCGTGTCTAACACACAGCCCGTGTGTATAACACACACAGCTTGTGTCTTACACACACAGCCCATGTGTCTAACACTCACAGCCCGTGTGTCTTACACACATAGCCCGTGTGTCTAACACACACACATCCTGTGTTGTGAGTGTTTAACCGTGAGACATTGAGGATCTGTACCTGCGCGTTTCCTCCAGGTGCCCCTGTGGAAGAGAGAGAGATCATGAGTGACGTCTCTAACCTTGCACCACGAGTCCCTCTGCCACTGCCAGCTCTGTTGTTCTGGACTCCCAAACGGCATCTCCACAGAGGCGCTCCCCACCTGCAGGAAGGCGAGCGAGTCCCTCTCGTGCTGCAGGGTGCGCAGGCGAGCGGCCGCCGCCTGGAGCTCGCCGATTTCCTGCTTGTGACGAGCGATGTCCTCGTCTATCTGGGACAGCAGCTCGCGCTCCTTCACGGCCACGCGTTGGAGAGCCTCCTTCTCATCCTCGTCCAGAGCCTTCTTTAGGCGGGCGAACTTGCCCGTGATGCGACTCCTGATCCCGGCCACCGATTCCTGCGGAGACGCGAGCACCACGGTTGGCCCCCTGAGCCATGAGCCACGCCGTGTGTGCGTGGGGGCACCGTGGTGGCTAGGAGATGTTGACTCCCTCGCCTGGTATACAGCAGGTCGGGGTTCGATCCTGATCCTGACGCCTGTATATTTGGAGTTTGTTCTCCCTGTAGTCGTATGGATTTTTCTCCGGGTCCTCCTGTTTTTGCCTCAACATTTAGGGTCAACGTCGCACATTTAGAGTATTTGTCTGCTATAAAAATCCACGTTACAATCAGCCACTTTGTTGAGCTATAATTTGTAGTAGCCAGGTCGCTTCTGAAAAAAGAACTACGTAGCTCAGTGGAGCCGTTCCGGGTAAAATAAAAATGAGTTTAGTCTATGGGTCTCTATGGGTCTCTCGGCCTCTCTCGGGGTCTCTCTATATGTCTCTGTTTATTTGTGTGTCTCTATGGTGTCGAGGTATCTCTATGGGTCTAGTATGTATATGGGTGTCTATGGATCGATCTGGGTCTCTTTGTATATTTTGCTGCTGCTATACATTTCCACATGATAATGGTGATATCAGCAATTTGATTGATCTGTAATTTGTGATTGCCAGGTCGCTTCTGAAAAAGAGCTACACAGCTCAATGGGCCTTTCCTGGTAAAATAATAAAATAATATTCCCTAGTAGTGAATCATGCCCCAGTGACGAGGCGCCCATGGGACTAAGTCGATCCATGCCAAGGGGGCAAGAGGGGCGCCGCTCTCTTCTTGTTTCTCCCCTAGAGGGGGCTGGGGTCGTGGATGTTGAGACTCGGGCACTCGGAGTACGGTGGGGGCCCCCTCGTGGGTCCGACGAGATGTGGCGAGATGTTAACTACCTCGCCTGGTGTACAGGGAGTCGTGGGTTCGATCACGACCCTGATGCCTGTGTGGATTTTTCTCCGAGTCCTCCGGCTTTTCCTCCACATTTAGAATCGGAGTAATCAAGGTAGGGTTTTCTCACAAGTCCGACTCGGGTTTATAATCCAAGGCATTCCTTATCTGTTGTGCACAACCCACAGAGCCCAAGAGAGCATCTCCGAGTTCAAGCAGCGTTTAGACTACAGTATTTAGAGTATTTGGCTGCTATCAACTTCCACCTGTTAAGCCATTTCATTAACCTATCATTTGGGAAATTCAGGTTCCATCTGCAAAAGAGTTGCAAGGCTCAGTGGGGCCTTAGCTGATGATGGTTGCTTGTGTTGCGATCGAAACGTCGTGATGTTTTTATTATTTTCTCAACGGTTTTACTTAACTGGACTCCTATGTTTGTCGTGGTCAAATCTTGTAATCACCATTTTGTCTACTTCCTGTTGTGCAATCAATTCCAAATTTCGCACACGTACTCAGATCTGGTGACAATACATGCCTGTATCAAAATGGGCATCAATAAATCAATTAATTGGCTCTTTTAAAGCAATTAACAATTTGTATGGACGGATTATTAATTTAATATCAATTTGTGCAGGTCAAAAACGCCACGGTCCCTAAACTCTGGAATCGCCTCGCCCAAGAAGCAGGTGCCACATGTCTCTTGTTATCAAGTTATCGTCCACTTCCCGTTGTCCAATCGAGTTATTTACTTTTACTTTAAAATATAACCGTTGTTTTTAAAAAACTTATTTTAAGGAGTTTATTACTCACTTTATTTTATTTTTTGCTATTTATTTGTATTATTTTATTGTTATTAAAAATATATATTATCTACGTGACTTTACCGAAAGACCCATGTGTATGCTTTAACTTAGCTATTTCAATGCTAAATTTTATGCTAATTCCTTTGTCAAGGGGTGCCTCTGCGGATGTGTATGCTTTAACTTTAACATAGCCATTTCTGTGACCAGTCACAAGCTAATCACTCAGCCATTTCAATGCTAAATTATATGCTAATTCCTTTGTCAAGCTGCTTTGTTTCCTCTCACACAACTTAAAGGTCGTGATCTGAGCGTGGCTTTTTCACTCCAGCGCTGTCCTACCAGACAGTCTCGTCCCTTCACCTGATGAAGGCCGCTTGTGTTGTGGCCGAAACGTCGTGAGAATATTATTGTGTTATTTTATTTTATCAATGTATTATTTTATTCTCATTCTACGTGACTTTACCGAAAGAACCAAAGAAGATGAATCATTGCAGTCACGAAAGCTTTAAATCGAAATAAAATTGAAATAGTTTAGTCTATGGGTCTCCATGTATCTCTGTGTCCCTATGTATCACTATTTGTCCCAAAGTATCTCTATGGGTCTCTATGTATCTCTATGGGTCTCTATATATCTCTATGGGTCTTCATGTTTCTCTATGTCTCCCTATATATCACTATTTCTCCCAATGTATCTATATGGGTCTCAATATATCTCTATGTATCGCAATGTATCACTATGGGTCTCTTTGTATCTCTATGTATCTCAATATATGGGTCTCTAGGTAATTATTTGGGTCTTTTTGTACCTCTATTTCTCCCAATGTATCTATATGGGTCTCTATGGGTCTCTATGGGTCTCTATGTATCTATATGGGTCTGCTGCTAAATTTTCACGTGATGATGATGATGCCAGCCACTTTGCTGAGCTGCTGTTGTTTGTGACAGCCAGAGTCGCTTCTGAAAAAATCTACACAGCTCAATGGGGCCTTACCTAGTAAAATAAAAATAGTTGTAGATTAGGGATGGCATGAGGTGCAGCTGTGCGGTGTTCGTGCCTCCGCGACCTCCAGTGCAGCTCAACAGCTGCACCACAGCTCCACCCCGACAATCCGTGGCAGTCTCGACACTTTTTTGCCACAGGAGTTGAAGACGCGATGCCGAGTAACCCGACCTCGCGGCAGACTCGCCAATGCGTTTATCGGATGCAGAAAAATGTGGAACCCCCTTGTAGTTAATGTTGAGTTCAAAAGTGAATGATTTAATTAAGACGCATCACAGTTATGAAGCTGCACGAAGTTCGTTTGAATTATTTTCGACCTCCACGACTTCCACACTAGGTGGAGGTCCCGGGGGTCAAAGAGCCGGGCCCGGACACGGTACCTGAGCCTCCTTGCGAGCGGCCTCCATCCGCTTCACAGACTCCTCCGCCTCCTTCCTCTTCTCCTCCACCGCTCGCGTCTCCTCCCCAACACGTGTCTGTAGAGAGAGACGAGACGTCACCAGGGGGAGACTCCAGCCCCCTGAGCCACCCCTCACACCACCCTTCCCTCCACACCGACCCCTCTACAGGAATGGCCCTCATCTCCACGCTGCCTTTCTATGCGACTGAGACGGGGGCATGGGGAATGGGCAAGCTGATGCCTCGTTGTAGCAGCAGCCAGTGGGAGCCGTGCTGGCTTGGTGACCCTACCGACTCGGACCCAAGAGCCCATGTGCCCACAGCTGTCTCGTTTAGAAGATATATTTGATATAATTGTCTATCAGGTGGATGTGATATTAGTCTCAAATCTCTGTTCACTTCATTTCTTTTTTTATACGGCAATTATGTTTAATGAAAGCCTAGGATTTAATACATCCTGAGGCTCTTTTCTGAAATGCAAACCAGAAAATTACCTACACAGGCAGAGAGGCAGCGGTTCAAGAGAGCATGAACACTCGAAAGTTTTTTTCATCAGATGTTGTGTAGCCGAGTGACAGAATTGATCAGATCATGTTATGGTGTCTCACTCTGAGGGCCTCACCTTCCGTGTCTCGTGCTCGTCCTTCAGCATGGTGACATCATGTCCTTTGTGTTCACCTGCGATGGTGCAAGATGAGCAAACCAGGCTTCTATCTACTGTGCAGTAGAATTCCAGCTCCCGTTTGTGATTACGGCATCTTCTCTCGTCCAAGCTCGCAATGGGATCCACCACGGCGTGGTCTCTCAACCTGGGATTCTCCACGTGAGTCCTAAAGTGAGAAAAACAGTAGGACATCTCACATCTCAGGCAGGTCTTCACTGCAGGAGTGTGGCCGTCACCGCAGATGTCACACATGACGACCGCGGCCATCCCGTCTCCAACTCTGAGCTGCTCCACCAGGTTGGCGAGGGCCACGTTCCTCCTCAGCTGGGGTCGCACAGGGAAGGTCGCTCGGCACTGCGGGCAGCTGAAGCTGCTCGCCGTCTCCCAGGCGGCCTCCAGGCACAGCAGGCAGAACGAGTGTCCGCAGCTCAGTGTGGAGGGGCAGACAAACGTGCCCAGGCAGATGGAGCAGCACAGCTCACTATCCACACTCTCAATGGGAGTCGCGCTTGCCATGACCCATGAGCTTCACTGGGATCGCTCGCTGTGTTGCTCAGAGAGACTCTGGACCAAGACCTCTCTCTTATAGCGACGGTGAAGAAGGAAGTAAAATTCTTAAAATATTTTCATTGTTGTCACTGACATCACGAGACACTGCTTGGAATGTAAACCCGTGTCCTTGGTGCGCAAACAGCAGCTTCAAGGTTAACATTGTTACAGTACACACCTTGACACGAACAAAATGTATCAAATGAACGTAATATTTTAACAAATATATTAATTTAAAGAAATGAGTGTTGTTGTTGATATAAATCGGTGAGCCTCAGCTGCGGTGGCTCATTCATGAGATGAGTATCGAGAGATAAACTTATCCTTCCAGAGCTCAGCGCACAAGTTGGTGTCGATGGTTAGACAGAGCAATGGATTGGGTGCCACCGTGGCTATATGTTATTTCGCTCGCCTTACGGCTGCTTTATATTTAAAGTTTGCGTCTTTCTCTCTCTCCCCTTGGTCTCGTACCGTGGAGATTTCTCAGATCATCGTTAACCTCCCTTTGCCCCGGATTTTATTACTTAATGGCTCTTTGTAGCCTCCTCCCTCAAGTTTATTTTAATGTGGCAAGGCAGCTCGGTGTCAGGGGTGGGGTGTGCATCACCCTTTCATTTCTCATGCTCACCCCGATTGATAAGTATTTTAAAAATATGTATATATATTGGCAGAATTTTTCATAATAAATATTTATGGGAAAAAGCCTATATACATACAACACCTGCTAATGAAGCTCGACCTAGAGGGAAATTTCCCAGGTGAAATATTTGAATATTGTTGCTACACCCACTGCTTTGAGAATGGTGGTCGTACAAAGGGCAGAAAACTTGCATCGGGGCCAAAAACAAGTCGGCTCAGCTTGTACCAAATGCAATTACATCCGTTAAGGAGCACAGAAATACGCGATGGGAGCAAATGTACTTCCAACAAGGAGAACTCGCCCACCACTTGCATCCCCATTTGATTGTTTTTCAACGGTTTATCTACGTATTATTTATTTGATTTGCGACGTATACATGTCTCACGCTACATATTAATGGCGTATGGTTGCACTTTATTTTGTCCATTCAGCATTATCCGCTGCGGTCGTGACGGGATTTTCTTTGTATTCTTCTTGTTCTATTCCTTTCTTATTCTATTTTATAAAATTCCCAAAATGACATTGCAAATTATTTCCCTTTTCTTTTTTTTTACCAGGTAAGAGCCACTGAGCTATTAAGCTAATTCAATGAAGCAACCTGCCTAGCACATATGATAGCACAACGAAGGCTTAACAAATGGAAATTTACAGCAACTAATTACTCTGAACATTTTTTTATTCTAAATATGGAGTGAAAAACCTGCGGAATCCACATGACAAGAGGGAGTGAGAAAACATGCAAACACCAAATATACAGGCGTCAGGGTCGGGATCGAACCCACGACCTCGTGCACACAAGGCAAGGGAGTTAACATCTCACCACCACGGTGAGATTTTATCTCAATTGTGATTACACACAGCAGCTGCAATCATCGCCTGCTACTGGCAGACTCCTGCACCAATTGACGCTTGCAGATGAGACTCATTCTGGTCTCGCCAGTTCTCGGCAGGTTAAAATTTGAATACCTATTCACGTACCCACCTGGTGACAATCAGAAATACATCAAGGGGGTTACCGAGGTACAGTTGATGAGGAGGGTTCCAACAATATTTTAGCAGGGGACAGGTGAAGTTGCCCGAATAGTTCCAGATATTGTGGGTAAAGAGGCTACGAGAGTAGCCACCAACCTAGATTTACGTAGACACCCACACGTGCACAGACCCATAGAACAGAACGAGTCTCTAAGATCCACTCAGAGGAACCCGTAGTCTTGTGGAGACCCGTTGACGAACGCTGCACTGGAGCAGCAGCGCATGCTGGGAGCAAGGAGTTATTGGAGTGGAATGAGCAGGCTGGTGCAAGGGTGGTTGGCTTCACTCGGATCGCTCGCTGTGTGGCTTAGAGAGACGCTGGACCAGGACCTCTTTCTTATAGCGATGGTAAAGAAGGAAGTAAAATACTTAGAATATTTACATTGTCGTTATTGACATGATGAGACACTGCCTGGAATGTGAACCTGCATCCTATGTGCACAAACACAATGCACACGGCTACTGTACTCACCTGTTGGGATTTCACTTTAATGAACAGAATATGTCAAATGAATGTACTCTTTAAAAAAACCGCATGAAAAGAAAAATAACACTTAACAAAATAAGTTGATATTAACATAAATAAATGATTTCGATATAAAGCTTTCGTGACTGCAATGATTCATCTTCTTTCGTTCTTTCGGTAAAGTCACGTAGAATGAGAATAAAATAATAAATTGATAAAATAAAATAACACAATAATATTCTCACGACGTTTCGGCCACAACACAAGCGGCCTTCATCAGGTGAAGGGACGAGACTGTCTGGTAGGACAGCGCTGGAGTGAAAGATCCACGTTCAGATCCCGGCCTTTAAGCTGTGTGAGAGGAACAAAGCGCCTTGACAATCAAATTAGCATATAATTTAGCATTGAAATGGCTGAATGATTAGCTTGTGACTGGTCACAGAAATAGCTATGTTAAAAGGTAAAGCATACACATCCGCAGAGGCACCCATTGTTAAAGGAATTAGCATAGAATTTAGCATTGAAATAGCTAAGTTAAGGCATACACATCCGCAGAGGCACCCCTTGACAATGGAATTAGCATAGAATTTAGCATTGAAATAGCTGAGTGATTAGCTTGTAACTGCTCACAGAAATAGCTACGTTAAAGTCAGAGCATACACATTCACCGAGGCACTTAGTACAAATCAAACAGAAGAATTTAGCATTGAAATAACTAGGCGAATTTAGCATTGAAATAACTGAGTGATTAGCTAGTGACTGGTCACAGAAATGACTACACATCTGAGCTATTCACAGTACTATATAGTGAACCAATAAAAAACTAAAATATAAATTACCTTAATGTTATCAATAAACTCTATATTCTCCAATCAGCTAAGCTACCAACAATAAGTCGTTATATATCACAATGCTATATGGCGAAAAAATGGGTGGATTCTTACCCTCAACTTTAGCACCACGGATAGCTACGGACCCCGTTCAGACGGACGAGTTCGTCCATGGTCGGAACAGAGGAGGGGGAGAGAGACAGCTGCGAGGCGCTATTCATACTCCATGTTGTAAAACCATACCATTAACCGTGGTGTGAGAGGTATTAAGAGTCAATGCTGGCGAAGGAGCTGCGGTCTGAAGGTCGTCGTAAAAAATACAATTAATTAAGAACAGAAATGATTTAAAACATCTTTCCAGTGGTTACTAAGCCAGACATACAGTACCCGGGTGTTTACAAACTAAAGTGCCTCTGTGGTAGTAGCTACATTGGAGAAACCAAAAGACATATCTCGGACCGCATCCGCGAACATAAAGCAGACTTGAAACACGGTAGGACGAACTCCTCTGCCGTGGCAGATCACTGTTATAATTCAGTGGGCTCACATGACATTGACTTCTCCATGACAGAGGTTCTTTGCAAACCAACCGGCTACCATGAGAGATTCGTTCATGAGGCCATTCACATATACAAGCACAGAGACAATTTCAACCGAGAAGATGGATTCTGGCTTAGTAACCACTGGAAAGATGTTTTAAATCATTTCTGTTCTTAATTAATTGTATTTTTTACGATGACCTTCAGACCGCAGCTCCTTCGCCAGCATTGACTCTTAATACCTCTCACACCACGGTTAATGGTATGGTTTTACAACATGGAGTATGAATAGCGCCTCGCAGCTGTCTCTCTCCCCCTCCTCTGTTCCGACCATGGACGAACTCGTCCGTCTGAACGGGGCCCGTAGCTATCCGTGGTGCTAAAGTTGAGGGTAAGAATCCACCCATTTTTTCGCCATATAGCATTGTGATATATAACGACTTATTGTTGGTAGCTTAGCTGATTGGAGAAAATAGAGTTTATTGATAACATTAAAGTAATTTATATTTTAGTTTTTTGTTGGTTCACTATATAGTACTGTGAATAGCTCAGATGTGTAGTCATTTCTGTGACCAGTCACTAGCTAATCACTCAGTTATTTCAATGCTAAATTCGCCTAGTTATTTCAATGCTAAATTCTCCTGTTTGATTTGTACTAAGTGCCTCGGTGAATGTGTATGCTCTGACTTTAACGTAGCTATTTCTGTGAGCAGTTACAAGCTAATCACTCAGCTATTTCAATGCTAAATTCTATGCTAATTCCATTGTCAAGGGGTGCCTCTGCGGATGTGTATGCCTTAACTTAGCTATTTCAATGCTAAATTATATGCTAATTCCTTTAACAATGGGTGCCTCTGCGGATGTGTATGCTTTACCTTTTAACATAGCTATTTCTGTGACCAGTCACAAGCTAATCATTCAGCCATTTCAATGCTAAATTATATGCTAATTCCATTGTCAAGGCGCTTTGTTCCTCTCACACAGCTTAAAGGCCGTGATCTGAACGTGGCTCTTTCACTCCAGCGCTGTCCTACCAGACAGTCTCGTCCCTTCACCTGATGAAGGTTGCTTGTGTTGTGGCCGAAACGTTGTGAGAATATTATTGTTATTTTATTTTATCAATTTATTATTTTATTCTCATTCTACGTCACTTTACCGAAAAAACCAAAGAAGATAAATAAAGGAGGCTCATAATAAAGGTTTTTGGGTTAGATTGCGTTTATTTATAAATGTGTCATAACCCTCCACCACCCGACACGGCCAATCAGCAAAAAGTGTTACAAAAAGACAAATAATTCACTACTTTAGCCCACCGGTGTGTTGAAGAGTGAATCCACATTTACAGTTTGAGTACGACGTTTCGCTAGTAAATACATCCAGCATCATCGGGCAATTCGCCAGAATGGTACTGATGTTATTCTGGTGAGTTTTGATGTGATTTCTCTATTCACTAAGGTTCCAGTGGACGAATCGCTTAAATTACTTGATACACTAGTAAAGAATACCGGTTTACCAAAAGATATTCCGAAACTTGCTGGCCATTGTTTAAATAACACTTACTTCTTATGGAGAGGGGATTTCTTTAAACAAAAGGAAGGAGCAGCAATGGGTTCT